TTGGTGGGTGGTTCCCTTCAGTGATGAGATTCGTACGGATACTGTACTACGGCACAGCAGGTAGGCGGTCAGTGGGGTGGGGGCGGCTCACGTAGGGGAGCACGTAAAAAGAGGAGTCTATTACTGCGCCAAGGTCTTGAAGCTCTCCGTTTCTGTGGTCCGATTTGAAGACAGCTTGGAGGCAGTGAAGCTGAGCTGACGCAGCTGGCTTGGTGTTGTTTGTTGTGTACTCCGCAGATGGGCGACCTTTGGGAATGATCTGACGTTACTCGTCCGGGAGGTTCGGAGGCGATGGTCAACGCCTTTTCGTCGCCTCTGCAAGCCGTGGCTGGGCTTTGATCGGATAAGGTATCTTGAGGTATTGCAAACGGGCGCTGTGCCGTATGAGCGGGCAGAACTGGCGCCCAGACAACGAAGTAGGCCTCAATTGGATTATCGTGTTCTCCCTCAGGGCTGAGGCCGCCGACTGTCAGGTATTATCGTATGATCGTACACGTACGGGGTATTGTTGATGGTGGAAATTGTACGGCCGAGGTCTGAGTAGTAGGGCTGATAATCGAATGCCCGAAAACACTAAGCTGACAGGGGAAAGCTGTTAGCGGAAGAATGAGAAGAAGGGGGAAATAAAGACAAACATATGCAACTAACACTCTCAAGGGTCTGATCAAAGGACATATAACTGGGACAAGCTTCAGAACAAGGACAGACTGAGGGTTAGATACCTTATAATAATACCGTATGAAACGACGAGCAAAAAAATGGGAAGAAAAAGGGGGCGGAGGGGTGATGTGATGTACTTCGTATATATGTCGAGGGGCAGAGGGAAGGAAGAAGGGAGAAAAGAGGAAAACGGAGAAAAGAAGGAAGGGAAAAAGAGAAGAAGAAAAAGAAAAATACAAAAACGTACGGATACAGTAATTAAGACACAGCTACCGCAGTGTAGTGTCCACCGCGAAGCTTCTGTTGGTCGGTTTTCTTCCGTCCAGGGTTTGGTCTTGCGAGATTGATAACTTTCCCCTTGAGGTTCGTGGCTGGGTCTGACAAGGACCGGGATCTCATTCTTCCCCCGAAAATCTAGGGGGTCTGGGCGGCGGGCATCGGGATCTGCCCTTTTCGCGCCCAGATATCCGCAGATCCGCTTTTGGGGTAGAGTACGAAGTACCTAGCGAGAGGGAGCCAGGCCCAGGCACAGCTGTCGGTGAGTACCTAAGGTACCTTAGTGAGTGTATTAAAACAGACCGCCTAGTTCAGGTACATACCTGGTAATTAGCTAACATGCCAACCAACGCTAGCTATCTCAACTAAGGTAATATAAGCTAGCATGAGGTCGGCTGCTCAATATACCAGACGAACAAATTGCTCTCGGATGCAGGAATGCAATGGAGGTAAAGAGACGAGAGAGGAGGATGGGGAAAAAAAGAGAGAAAGATGCAGCCAAGGGAGAGAACGGTAGGGCGAAGACCAGGAGTGAAGGAAGAAATTAAGAATCACTTCTGTCATAATCAGCCTCTCACCATACGTTGTTAGCCCCGGGAAGTTCACACGAATAGCGTGGGCAGGAAATCAGCGAAAGGAAACGATTCAAGGTCTTCTGCAGAGTCAAAATGCTGACATGGCGTGTATTTATGTAGTGCAACGACCAATACAGAAAGCCACCCAAGGCCACTCGATTGCCACGACGTATCCGTAATAAACGGGCGTTTACCGGGATGACTATGGAGTAAGCCTCTTCTTCTGACTGGTGGCATTGCTTGCCTATCGATATCCAAGTCCTCCTACCTATCTGTTGGAAGCCAAGATAGGTACGAATAAGGGAAAGGATGTAGAAAGGGCAGGACCCCGCGAGTAATAACTAAGGTAGTGATAAGAAACAAGGAGAGGAGGGGGAAGGGGGAGGGGATGGAATGTCCGGACGTTGAGCGTTGAACTCGTCTCAAGTTAACTACGGAGTATTATTCCCCACACACATTTTATTCGACTCCGAATGCCACTTCCGAATGCCACTTCCCCGGGAATAGCTTCCTGTACTTTTCATATATATACTCTATACTTCCTGCCGCGATCTCAGAATCATACTACCTACCTACCTTACCTTAGGTAGGTACCTGAGGTAAGGTATCTTAGCTTGCAGACTCCAGCGGGGATGACTACGGCGGTTACATAAAGTAGGTAACAACCTGCCTTATCAAGGTACCTTATTAAGGTAAGTAAGGTGCCTTATGTACTGACTCCTGTATACCTAGGTACCTATCTCACTTCAACAGCCCATGCTCCATCTGTGTACATCGTACATGGTCCGTCTGTCCAAGCGCCCAGGCCCACCGCAAACGGTTCAGACGTACCCGTATATAGTACATAGGTGGCGGCGTGTGAATCACCTCTACCTAAGTACTCAGTACTCCGTCATTCGCGCAAATCGGGCGGCATTACCGGGCCAACTTCCCCTGCTACTTAAGGTACTTACTACCTGCCAGAAGTACGGATACAACAAGCGGTAAAACTGGAGAATGCATTTCTCTTGTCCATCTGGCCGGCCCTCTCTCCCGTACAAACTACGAACCTCGGAGAAACATTTCACGAACCAACAGGTCCCCGTTCCAAAATATGCCCGGAGCTGTCCTGGAGAGGGCCTTCTTCCTTTCCGGTAGCCCAGCACTACCAAGGCCCCAGCTTCCCCCGCGTTGAACGCACGTTGAGACACAAGCTCGAGCCGGAGAGGCAGGTCATTGCTTCATCCTTTTCCATTCCCAGCTCAGCTTTCAAGCTAGAAGATCGAGGTCCGGGAATCTGGGATTCTACGAATCTGGTACTCTCCCTCGACGCTGCAGCTAACCGAACGAAAGGCTAGAGCTGCGTGGGTTGCGTGGGTTGCGTGGGCCGCTTCCACCATTGATCCAACACTGGCAACAACTATCAGGGTCGCCGTCTCTTGTCTGTACTGAACCCTTCACCAGTCAGTCTGATAGTATGGCATTCTCGAAGAACAACCCCTTTGACCCGGGGGGCGCCGGTCTTTGTTTGAGTCGTAGATCCTATGGCCAGTTTCATTCAGGACACCGACACTGGCCCTTGTTCTGGGGCATACAATGCCATATTCCTCTTCGGCCTTTCAGTCTACGCTCTTTGGTTCGGACCATTTCCTTTGTTCAGCCTCTGTCCAAATATACCCCTGAACGAGAACATTGAACCACAATGGCTGCATCCAGAGCTCGGTCATATAAATTCACGGTCGCAGAAGCCTTTCTTCCCGATATGCCATCCAGAAGTCAGAGACAACAACAACAACAACAACAACAAGTAAAGCAAGTATCAAATCAATCAATCACCCTCGACACCAATTCCCTCAGCAACACGCCTTTGAACAAAGCAGTAAGCATGTCTGATTCTGACGATTACGTTACTCCCGTCACCCCTGCGAAGCAACGCTTCAGGCTCGACGATTCTAGCGACTCGGATGAGAATCAGAATCCCCATTACCAGCAGCACCTAGATGATCGCGCTGGTCTCCCTTCGGGACCAGCCCTCTTCGGAGGGCAAGGTTCCTTCCCGGAACAACATCTTCCTTCAGAAGAATCGACCATGTACTCGTCCTTCGAGCAGCCGCGAGAGGAAACGATACCTCCGCTCACGCCGGTATTTCAACGCTTCAAACTCAAGGACTCCGACTCCGACGCAGACCCTACTCTTGACCCTCCTGGCCGTCATCTTGGCGAGTTCACGACGGAGCCAATGCAGATATCTCCCTCCGAGGAGATGCCGAAGCCGCAAGCTTCCCCTCCTACCTTGGCCTTTCACGTCGAAATCGAGTTCCTCTTGAAACTTGATGAACACCTACTCAAGGGAATCGAAGAGGAAAAGACCGGGGTGATGGACAACCCCGATTCCTACGTTGCCTTTAACCCCCATCCGTCCCTCCGGGGCACCAACGCATTTGATCGAGTGACTAACAACATCCTAGTGAGGATAGCACGCCACCTCCACGCCAACGATATACCCTCCGTATCCTCTTCCGAAGAGCTAGACCGCGAGTTCAGCCGTGACATCGAAGGGCAGTTCGGTCCGGGTCTCTGGGTCGTCCGCACCCCGGTCAAGCCGCTGGAGGTGAGACCAGAAGCCACCATAGACCATGACCGTTTCACCGGCGTTGCCGTCCGCTCACCTCTCTTCAACGCCACAGCTTTCTCTGTCTTTATTGAGTCCGTCCGCAAACTGGTCCGCATCATCAAGGAGACCTACACCGTCGGCGTCAACGCCTCTACGAGGCTACGCGTCGACGTCAAGCCCGGTGGTGGTGACGACAAGTTTGACGTCGCCTACCTGAAGCGGCTGGTCCGCTTCCTCTGGGCCGCATCGCCCTTGCTCGATGAACTTCACCCGCCGCATTGTGGCCCTGGTTCCCCTGTCACCCCGGGTCTCGCCTGCACGAGGGCCTTCTATCCGGAAGGCTTCCTCGGCCTCGACCAGCTCCAGTATAAGAAAATTGAAGTGCCCGACCTCTTCGACGCCGGCGCCGCGGTTCCCATGAGCGTCAAAATGTTGGAAGAACCCAGCATGCCCTCGGGCCGCTTCAGTTCCTGGTATGTTCTGCAGCTCCTCAAGCTGGAAGCCCCCCGCACGCTGCCGGAGCTCGTTGAGAAGTTGGGCGTTGTGCGTGGTCGTGCGAACGGCGGGCTGGTTGATATGCCTCCTGGCGCTTACCACTTCGATCCCCTGCTCCACGAAGGAAGCATTCAATTCGCCCAGCACGCCGGCACCATGGATGTTAATGCGATAACCCAATGGGTCCGCGTCTGCCTGGCGCTCGCCTCCATCGGCCATTCTTCCCGCGTCGAGCATTTCCACGGCATTCTCCGACGCCTGATACCTGCCAACGCCGATGTCCATCGCGAACTGCTCGGAGTCGGCCCGCTTGTATCCCCAGCACCTGCAGCACCTGCAGCACCTGGCAACGGGGTCGGCCCCTTGACCGTGTATGAGCTTCTCCGCCAGTTGGTCTCCCGAAACACAGCAGCCTACTACGAGACCCGCGGCCGCTACCCCCAGAGCCCGGAGGTGGCACGCCTCGGACGCCGACGCGCCGTTAACCTAGGAGCGCTGCTGAAGAGCACTCCGGCCTCGCCCCAGTACACTTTCGGCGTGGAGCTGGAGTTCTTCCTCCCTTACGGTAAGAACGACGAGACGTTGCCGTTGCCGTACGGCGTGTTCAAGGACCCTTCGCCGGAGGATAAGCGCTGGTTCGAAAGAAACTATGTTTTAAACGAGACCCGTGATAGTGTCTGCGAGATCCTCACCAAGGGAGGCTTCTTCGCCACTAACATTTGGAGTCACGTGACCGGCTCGAAGCGCTATGAAACCATGCGCGCCAAGGCGGGCGGGTTCCTCCTCGAGCCCGGTATCAGGCCCCATTTTCAAGCCTGGTGCGTCCAGTCGGATGGTAGCCTCATGGTCGGCCCGGTTCCGGGCTACTCGGGCGAAGTCGGCATGGAGATTGCCGGCCCGCTCGGCTGTGCCAACCGCACGGGCTACCGAGACTTTGTCCGCGGCGTGTGCTACCTCCGCAACAACATCCGCACCATGATTGGGAATGAGTGCGGCCTGCACGTCCACGTCTCCACCCACAACGGCCGCTGGACCTACCGCACGGTGAAGCGCGTCATCAGCCTATGCTGGTTCATAGAGCCCGTCATGGCGGCCATGCTGCCCCCGACGCGGTTCCACAATCAGTATTTCCAGCCCATCCACAGGAACTCCCGGGCCGCGCTTGATGACGACCCACCCGTCGCCGAGACGCAGCGCGATCGCGAGTTGGAGGCCCACGTACCGATGGACGGTCTCGACGAGAAGCTCCGCGCCGCCATGTGGCGCATCTGGGTGAGCTCCACTCAACTCAACCAGCTCGAGAGCGCCATCTCGGATCACTTATACTGCCGGTGCTCGCTGTCGGTGTCCAGCATCAGACGGAAGCCAGGTCAGGACGGTCGAGTTGACCTCACCGGCACGATCGAGTTCCGTCACAAGGACGGCTGCCTCGACCCGGAGCGGATCGTCCGCTGGTCGCGCTTCTGCGTCGCCATGGTCCGCAAGGCGGAGGTCGCTCCTGCCAGGGAGATCCGCGAGCTCCTGAGGACTCTGGCCCCGCTGCAGGGCCGTGAGCGTTGGGACCGCCGCGCCAGTACGGAGTTTATTCCTGTCGTCATGGGCGCCCTGGGACTTCCTGACGAGGACACTGACTTTTGGTGGCGCCGGTCTAGATTGTTTGCGCCCCTCGACATCGAGAATCCGACCGAAACCGAACGCATCGCGCTCTCCAGCAGGGTCGTTTCCACTGCCGAGAGTCGTAAGGAACGGAAACCGATACTGGTCAACCGGGACTTCATCCCACCGGTCTCGGCTGAAGAGTACGAACGTCTTGAGGCTTTGTTAGCCAGCATACCCGAGTGAGATGGCAACAAAGAACAGGCAGGTAAGGTGGGTGGAAGATACAAGGTGAGTAAGATCTATACACTTGTTGTTATTAACACCCACACAACCCCCCATCTCCTTCTGTGGTATAGCAAATACCAATCATGATAGGTAAGTGTGGCACCACTGGAACAGCAAAAATCAAACAAGCAAGGTAAGTCAATTATGCTGGAAGGTACAACAAAAGAATAGACGGACAATAGGACACTCGTAAATGAACGAATAGAAATTACAGACATACACACACACTCTCTCTCTCTCTCTCTGTCTCTGCATAGTGATATTCTGCAAGCATATTCCTGTATGTGGAAAGCAATCAGAGACAACGAAACTAAGCGAACAAACAGCAGTAAGGATGGTCTCAGTATCCGAGAGGCTGACCATATGTAACAACAACCTATCCCAGTGAATTTAGAAAGACTTGTTATTGTATGCAAGGGATAGCACAACTAAGATGGACAGAAAAGCCATCCACTCTCTGTACCTGTCTATATAAAGACATAGTGAGAAATCTACTCGCCTATCCATTACACCATTCCCCCTTCTCCCTTCTCCCTTCTTCCTAGCTTTTAAAGGGCAGAGGAATAAACAGTAGATATTCATCCTTACCAGAAATTCAGCTCCCGATTTCTGTTCTTAAGAGGATATTTGCAGTGATTCTCATAAACCAGCTATCATTATCTAAGCCCATACACTCGCGTCTTAGTCTTGTTTATCATTTGAGCTCTGGCCCATTACATGGCTAGCAACCACCGGGCCGCCTACCATTAAAAGGCGAAATCCATTAACACCAGAAACAGACAACACAAGCAGCGTATTCAGTGATCACGAAAAAGTCAGTTAATTGTCGAGGCCACAAAGGCCGATGTAAGAGAACTGACTACTAAGTACAAAAGGAGGCCGGCCATCTCTCCTAAGCCGCTCCAAGATACCGCATTGTTTTGATGCGATTACAAAAAAAGGGTTGTTTTTCTTTGCCTCATTTTCAGTGATGACGGCAAAAAGAAACGAAAAAAAAGGTCCAACGTGGGCAACATAACAGTATATGCGCGCACAGAGAAGATTGACCCTTTAGATGACCTCCCAGGTAACACGAGCACGACCGACACCGAGATCGTAAAGGGCAGCGAACATGTCGGGGCTGACATCAATGTCCTCCTTGGCACATCCCATGCACTTATCACGAACAATGCCCTCGACAGTCTTCCCATTGGCACGAAGGCGGACGCGGCGGTTGCAGTGAGGGTTCAAGTTGTTGTTGGAGGCAGTACCCATTTTGTGGTGGGAGAGGGCGACAATGCCATGACGACCGGTATCATTGAAACCGCAAGCACCGAGACCAGTGTCGTAAAAGGTGAGGTCACCCTTGAAAGGACCCTTGAACATGTCCTGACGAGCTTGGAGTTCACCGATGCTAGAAACAGGGAAAAGAGCGAATGGTTAGATACGAAGACGGCAGAAAGTAAAGAGGACGACTCGGGAAGAAGTGGAAACCATAAGAGAAGAAGAAAACTTACTTGTTGCCATCGATAGCAGCAGCGGAAGCACCAAGACCGAGAAGGGCCATGATAGTGGCACCGAGGAAAGCCTTGAAGAGCATGGTGTTGGGAGAGTTGGTTGAGAGCCTTGGGAAGAAGTAGTAGAGAAGCTGTCAGAACGAAAGGGAAGATGATTGCTAAGAGTGTATTGATAGAGAGCAGAGCTTAGAAGAGAGCTTGAGAGAGATGATGCTTGTAATAGTCGAAAGCTGAATACTGTTGGATACCGAGAGAACAGAGAGAGAGGTTGAGGCTTCAAGGGGGAGGTCGGGAGATATTTATGCTATGAGGGGGTTTCCTGAGGAACTTGGATCAGCGAGCGAGATCACTCAGATGAGTTTGCTTCTAGATAATACTCTAGCTTTTTAGGAAAGAGGACGTTTCGTTTCCTGCTTTATTAGTTGGACCAGTAACCTAAGCTCCTTCCAGACTCGGTGAGGCTATCAAACTGCTACTCGACCTACAGACTTACACAATGTGGTGATTCAGGTCAAAGTGGAAAGAAGGTGACAGAAAAGTAAGGGAGGAGGTGAGGTATGACGATAGATAGAGATTATAAAGGGAAGCAGTGTGCGCTGTGACCAAAACGCTACTTCCCTGCGGATATTAGGAACTATGCAGCTGCAGATAAACAGAGAATAAAATCCTATTATAAAGGAATCAAGCACATACCGGGTGTAATAGCAGATAGATATTATAATAGAATAATGTACGGTACTGGTTAATATGACCGTGAAAGTGAGAGCGGATCTATTATATAGCAAGATATCTATAAGACTAAATACTACCTTCTCTTGTCTGCAAGGGACATTCTACTAGACAATGGTTTGCGAACCGATGTATAGGTCATATACAAACACCTACTCTGCTACAAGACACCCTTCAATCCGACTACAGATCAAAGAATTATGCAAACATAGTCCCTTCCCAAGCAACTTCCCAATTTTTGATACTTGTTTTTACCTCAATGCTTGACTGCTCTTTTTGAAATTCCACTTTGCTTGTTGTTGTGTTTGGTGCCTACCTGAGTTGGAAAGCAGGGGCGCGCATGTGAGACGTGACTATCTGTGCTTGACAATGTTACCAGGCAAGCTGTACTCACCTCACGTACCTTCCCGACTAGGGCCAAGGGAGAGAGGTAAGGCCAAGGAAAGTTGAGTGCATGTGAAAGTGAAAGTAGTTGAAGGTGAAGGTGAAAAGAAGGTGAGGTGATAATGAAAAAGGGTAGACTGGGCTCTTGCAGTATAGGATTCCGGGCCAAGCTGGATGACTTATTGGTCAGAGGCTCGGTAAACGCGTTAGTCTAGGGCAAAAGAAAGCTAAATTTATCTCAAAATTAAATTAATTTGAAAAGCCGGAAAGTCTGGATTTACCTTGACGCATACACTGGTTCAGTTCAATCCATGGGTGCGGCTTGTGTTCCGGGGTTCAGGGGCAAGCATCGAGGACTTGATGTCGTTGTGGGTCCCGCTTAAATTTCGGCATTTCCGGTGAGCAGCGGGTTCGGTGATAAGCCCCTCCCCGCTCTCGGTGCCTCGGTGAGGATCACTTAGGTAATCACGTATGACAGGTACGTACTTCGTTCCACCTCTCATCCACGTAAGGATTTTCCGACGCGGTTGCTCCTCCATGTTCCCATTCCCATCAATCAATCAGTCCATCCCATCGCGCGACCATCACGACGAACAAGGGGAACCGAATCTCACAAAAGTCCTCCAATTATTCTCCGCCCACAACGCGTCTATCTCCAATTGTTTACACGAATCGCTAGTTCAGAACACCTGGCGACTGTTTATCTATTTGGTTTCTGTGAAAGCGGTTCCAAAGGGTCTGCTAACGCCCCTGCGCCGGTTGGTCGGTCTCCCTAGACAGCCAAGATTGCTCTCCGACATGCCGTGACGTGGATTCCACCAAAGCGTAGCCAAAAGATGGAATCTAGAGAAAAGCCTCAGGCATGTCAGTCGACATATGCGCCTCGAATGCGAACATACAACAATGCGCTCCTGACCCCCGTCTTTCCGGCCGCCACCTCTGGCCCCATCGCCCGTACGACCAAGCGCGGCACCACCATCATCAACTACGCGGAAGATGGATACGACGATCTCGACGATGACGATGACGACGGTCGCCGCAGGCCGAGTAGCCTACGAAACCAACGGAAGGAGGATACGCCGAACAGGCAAGACTTGGCGGAGAAGTTCGGGAAAGACACCGCCGAACCTGTCGAGACGCAAGGGATATGGAGGGACTGGTTCGCTAAGGGTCGATTTGCCAGGACTGACGCTCACAATATTTACCAAGCGACTCTCCCCGTGACATTGGTCCCGGTGCGCATCAATCTCGAGGTCCCGGCCTTCGTACCCGCTGCGCCGTGGCCTCCTACGCCCGGTTATGACGCGTCGCTACCGCAATACCGGCCGGGAGAGATGACCGTGCCGTACCGTCTGCGTGATATTTTCCTCTGGAATCTTCACGAGTCGGCCGTCACCACCGATTATTTTGCTCAGGTGCTGGTGCAGGACCTGGATCTGCCTAATAGGCACCAGGCGATACAGGAGATCAGCAAGCAGATCCGCACCCAGCTTGAGGAGTATGCCGGCGTCGCGATGCACCCGTTGTTTCATACCCAGACCCGGTCCTCGGGCCCCAACGAGACAACAGCACCAGCATCTGCCGGCACACCGAGAGCCAACAACAACAACTCTGTCCCTGCCCCTGCTGCCGCGCAAGGTGAGGACAAGACGCCAACGTCGGCGGCGCAGCAGCAGCAGCACCAGCAGCAGCAGCGTGGGGCCAGCCGCGCCGACACACCCCTGGAAAACGCCAATGGCCAGGCGACCACGGCGACCACGGCGACCACGGCGACCACGGCGACCACGGCGACCACGGCGACCACGGCGACCACGGCGACCACGCCTTCCAAACTGAAGAGCGCCCTCTCCGTGCCCGACGTGACAGCGCAAGCGACCGCCATCCCCCCCGACTCGGACGACTACAACCCCGACGACACGTACCGCTGCATCATCACCCTCAACATCACCCTCGCCCAGACCCTCTACACCGACAAGTTCGAGTGGTCGCTCCTCCACCCGCCAGGCACCGCCGAGGCCTTCGCCAAGCAGACGTGCGCCGACCTCGGCCTGAGCGGGGAGTGGGTCCCCGCCATGACCCACGCCATCTACGAGGCCGTCCTCCGGCTCAAGAAGGAAGCCTGCGAGGCCGGCGGTCTCGTCGGCGGCTGGGGCGGGCAGGCCGAGATCGCCAACGACGCGGCCCACGGCGCCGACGCCGGGTGGCGGTACGACCCGGAGTCCCTCGGCGACGCGTGGCAGCCCCGCGTCGAGACCCTGACCAAGGACGAGCTGGAGAAGCGCGAGGGCGACCGCGAGCGCGCCATCCGGCGGTTGCGCCGCGAGACGGCCCGGTTCAGCTCCACCGCCGGGCTGGTCGGCGGCGGCGTGCTGCCCTTTGCGGGCTTTGGTGGCGGCGGCGGCGTCGTCGTCGATACGGAGGAGGAACGCATGGGACGGGGCGAGCGCACCAAGAAGAAGCGCCGCTTCCGCAGCTTGAGTCCCGTGGGCAGGTCCGGAACCCCGGGTGCCCGTGGGACCCCGGATGTGGGGTATGGCGGGGGTGGTGGCGGCACGCTTACCGAGCAAGAAAGGATGGCCTGGAGGTGCGACCATTGCGGGATCCAGGGGACCAGCGCTTGGGCTGTGCGAGATGGGCCAAACAGGCCGAGGGTACGCTTCCTTTTTTTTCTTTTCTTTTTTTTTCTTTTTTCTTTCTCCCTCTTCTCTCCCTGCCTTTTGTTTTTCTCCTTCGCTCTTCTCGTTTTTTTCCCCCCCCAGTTTGTACCTGCTATGGAGTGATGATTGTCCCGCTAACTTTGCCATGCCCAACTCCAGTCACTATGCAATAACTGCGGTTTCATCTGGGAGCGATACCGTGTGCTGCCGTCACAGGCCAAGAATCTTCACACGGCCATTGTGCGCGCAGGGTAGGTGCCGGAAGTCAATGGTCACCAAGTGAGAGAGGCCTTGGGGCAGAGAGAGAGACGATACGCCAGGCGTATCAACGAAGGGAAGTAGGCAATTCTGCGAATACACGGCGCCCGGGCAGTTCGTTGGTGACGGTTCCAGGGCGAATGCAGCTGAAAACCGGCCCGGTGCCATGCTCTATGGAGACAAATGGGCATGCGTTTCTCGCTCGGTAATGTATTCTTTGTACGCGGAGAAGCCATGGTCGGGGTCTGGAGCTCGAGGGCGTTTAAGCGGAACCGCGGGAGACGACAAGGGGTCTGTCTGTACGATACCTAAATGGCGGAAAACTTCAGAATAAGGCCACTGTATTATCCCATTCTTACATTGCATTTACAGTATGACGTTAGGAAGGCGTTGGGAACGCAGGACGCGCCTTCTACGACAGGAAGTCTGTGTTCAACGGTCCAGTCGTGGAGGTGACAACTCCAGCATCCATCGGATCTCAACATCACCGAGACAAACATTTTTCTCGGGGGGGGCTCCGGCTTACAGCCCCGATGAAGCAAACATCAATCAATCCAGCATCAACAGATTAAATTCGACAGTCGCGTTCCTCGAGCAAAACCATGGATAAGGATGCAGGGAGGAAAAGGCGGCCGCAGTGGAATGTGCATTGCAGCCTCAAACTGCCAAGTTGCCAATTACAATCTCAACACTGGGGGGGTCCATGAGGCAGGCAAACACCAAACCCAAGGTCAGGTCACAGGTCCATCTCCGCGAAGTAAAAGAAGAGAGGCAAAGATTTGCAGGAAACTTTTGATTCAACCCATAGGTGCTGTATGTGCCGTAACTGTGACTATCACCATCCAACTCCTCTAAACCAAGGACTTCAGTCCCTCCCTGTTCCGGCCGTGGTATCCCACCCATCTTGATGCATGTTGGTATCAGGAAAAGAAAGAAAGACAGAATGCAGGCCATTCATAACAAATTTCCCGTCCTCTAATAGTTATAAAAAAAAAGGGTCAGAAACCGAGACCCGGATCTCAACCCCGAAAGAAAATTGCACAGAAATAAATGTATTGCGACATGGGACCCCCTTCAATAGCCGCTCAAGACCAGCCATTGCTCGTGGGGATACCAGGGGTGGTGTTCGTATCCATACTCAAGAAAGCGTCGATTTCGCCCAGTCCTTCATTCTCCAACGCGTTCATAAGTTCGACTTGCTGCTCCTGTGTCAGGCTGCCGTGGCGCTCCGGGTTCCAGCCCACCGGCTGACCGGAGAAGGAACCAATGTTGCTGAACGGCCCCAAGCCCAGTCCGGCCCCTTGGACGTTGCCGAAGCCGTTCATCTGAACGTCGTTGAAGAAGCCGTTGTTGCTCATCGGATTGAAAGAATATGGCGACATAAATGGCGGCGGCGGGGCGAACCAGTCGATGGTACCGTCGGAAGGAAGGGGCCGTTGTGGAATGCTGGGTTGCGGGGCCGGGGGCACGACGAACGTGGTCCCGCGTTGAGGCGCCTGGGTTTGGCCAGGCATTTTAGGTTGCGGAGGGGGTGGAGGTGACATGTTCGTGGTCGTGGGGTGAACGATGTTGGGCCCTGGAATAGCCGGAGACGAATCCGCCATGGTGGGCGTCGAGTGAGCCATGGTCGGCGTCGAATGCGCCCCGGACGGCGGGGAGACTGTGGATCTCGCGCTACCCGGCGTCTCGACTGAACGAATCGACGCGTTGAGTGATTCCGGGGGAGTGGGCATGGCGTTCACGGTGCCATTGGGGCCCGGCGTCACCGACGTCGGCAAACGGCCTGGATTGAAGGCCGGCGGAGTCGAGTCGTCCATGGGCGACTCCGGTGGGTACGCGGAGCATCGGCGACCCGATCCCGACTCGTTGGAGGCGGGACTCATGAAGATGGAATTGGACCGGAAGGTTGGGTGTGGGGGATGGTTTTGGTTGCTGTTGTAGCCAAAGGCGTTCATTGCTTCCGGGGTCGCATTGAAGACGGCCCCGAATTGCGGAGCGCCAGAATTACCGTTGCCTTGGAATGGCGTGCCCGGCGCTGCTGACAGGTCGGCGTCACGGGGCATGTTAACGTCGAAGAAGGCATTCGGAGGCGCTGTTGGCGGCTCCTTCGCGTCGTCGTAGACCTGCAGGCACGCTTTGGCCATGATGGAATACAAGTGAGAGGCCGCCGAGGACCCCGGCCACCGCTGGGAGCACGGCTCTTGGTCGAGAATGTCGAGAGTCACCTGAATAAGTTCGTCCACTTCCTCCCGGGAATGTGCCCGCCTAATGTCGGCGTACGAGACAGCCCACAGGAGGGTGTTCAGACACATGAACAGATTTGAAACGAAAATCCAGGTGATGTCGGTGGCCGACTTCTCCATCTGGAACTTGGACAAGTTGATGATGTACGAGGCAGCGTCGTAACAAATCGCGGCGCCCCGCGCTGAGGGCTTGGGAACCTGCGGGGACGGGCGGTGGAGAAAGATGCGCAGTTGTTGGGCATGGCCGGTGAACCTAGGGAGAGACGGCGAGGTTTAGGTTAGCGGAGGTGAGAGCTGGGAGAAGAAATGGCATAAAGAGAGGCGAACGGGCTCGGGACGGGGGGGGCGAACTAACCATGCTTTGCACCAGGCTGGGTTCTGCGGCGAGCCATCGATCCAGTCCTGGATGTCCTTCTCCATCTTGGCAAACCACGGATGGGTTTCATTTCGCGGCTCCGGCCGTTTCTTCTCGTAGAGGATTCGCTTGATCTCCGACTGTAGAACCCGCATTCTGAAGAAATGAATTGCAATGACCTTCTTCTCACTGGGCGGGGCCGGGAGAATGCCTTCTTCGGTTATGTGCTCGTCGCCTGCTGGGGCAAAGGGCTTGACGTCCATGAAGTCATCGCCCTTGGCGAGCCCGTTCGGGCGACCCATGCTGTAGGCGAGACCCAGTTCCATGGAGGATATGATGTAGAAAAGCCGGCGCCGCATGTCCAGGGTCAGTGGATCCATCAGACCCATGGAGTAGCTGGCGGAGATGGTTTTCTCGTCGCAGAGCCCTTCGGCCTGGCAGATGCGCGTGGCCATACCGATGACGTAGTAAACGGAAACGCGAGTCGGGGTCAAGAGGGAGTATTGGCAGATGAGGGCCAGACACTGCAGCGTCTTGACATCCTTCGGGCGGACCACCTTCTCAAGATGGTCCATGGCAGCGAGGTAGTAACTGTCGGCGAGACCAGCATAGTGCAGGCCGAGCTGCTGGAGGCTGATGGCGAAGACCATACGACAGACGAAGTTCTTGTGGGGATCAGAGTCGCCAGAAAAGACGGCTTCGAGGTCACGGACGAATAGCTTCTCGTGCAAAGTGGGCCAAAAAACCTGGGCTGTCACCAAATCGTGTAAGCGACGACGACGACGAGGCACGCGAGTTTGATTTGAGGCGGGGGCGGAGGAAGGGGGGGGAGAGGGGCCAACTCACAGCGCTGGCAGAAGATATCTACGAGCTTGTTGGCAACGTGGCGGGCGGGTAAGGTCTTGGCCGGGTGGGCGCTGGTGATGGGATAGCTCTTCTTCCGCTTTACGGGGTTTGTCATGACAATAGACTGCATGCGGGTCTGCCTCCTGGCGCGAACTTCGGGAATGAGGTCCGAGATGCGCTTGGAGTCGGTGAAAGCCTTCGCCTGCTCCATGACGAGGCGGGTCATCGCGATGCCGCTGCTCGGGCCGAGATATCGCGGGGGCTCATCGGAACCGGGAAGACGGACCAGGCCACCTGGACGAACGACATCTTCGTTGGTTCGGGGCCGGTCGTTGTCCTCGTCGGTGTATTGAGCTAATTCGGCCTCGAGCTGGCGGACCTTTTCCTGGAGCTTGACGACGTAGTTGCGGCCAATCTTGCGACCCTTGGACGCGTCGTAGTATTCACATATGGAGCCGGACCTCTCGCAGGGCAAGCAGCGGGGAAGGGTGGGATCGCATCGCGTCTTCCTCTAGATAGGCGAGAGACGCATGGTCAGTTTAAGTTGGGGGGTTTCTCTGTCAGAGCCAGTGGGAGAAAGAAGAAGAAGGGGGGGGGGGATATGGAACTCACTTGACGGCAACGACAGCAGGCGGTTAGAGTATGGGCGATGCGAGCGGGATGCGAAGAAGAATCGTCATCGTCGAGCTGCTGGTTTCCTCGGGGTTGAAGAGGAGCGGCAATCGGGGGCGCAGACCGGGGTGCTGCATAGGAAAAGGGTTGCGGAGGGAGATGTGCAGCTGGTGGGCCAGGAGGGAGGTAGGCATTGAAGCCTGGGGCTTGCCGGTAGATGTCGGCGGCATTCATGGCCCACGAGGTGATGGGGACAAAATCTGCCCCCGGGCGAGACGAGAGACGAGGCGCGATAGGTTGGCCGATATAAACCAGAGAGGACTTGGGTATCACGGAGCTTCGGGGTCTGAGGGGTTGAGCTTAAGGGGCCCCGTTCCTCGTGCGACAATGAGCGTAAACAGTCAGAAAGGGCGGGATGGTTGCCAAACGATGCGTCGATGACAGGTAAACGACGGGTCCTTGGATCGAGCACCCCAAACGGAGAAAAATAGGGAATGTTAGGCTGCAGCCAGTCTTAAGGCTCGAGAAAGTGATGGCACACGTCGAAAGATGGTGGGGGTCTGGAATGTCGGGGCCTCGTGGAAACTGGAACACAGAGCCGAGTTGTATAAGTTGGTTGAAGTCGTTTTCAAGGAGATTAAGCTCGATGGAGGTGTCTGAGAGGCGAAATTTGAAAGGTCGGACGGCTAGCTCGAGGTGATGTTGCTGTTTGAAAGTGTAGGTACGGAGTAGAATTAGATGTTGATGGTAGGGCGCAGGGAGGGGCGGGGAGAACTTGTGCTGTTCGACTGAGTTGAGAAGGACCGTTCGACAAGTAATGGAGATGATTGGGGGGGACCTGTTGTATGGACAGCGACCTACCTAGGTACGGATACAGTACAGCAGTACAGTACCTAAGATAGCCGTGGAGTTAGCCCCGAGGGACGTGCATAGCGGGTTGAGACAAGTACTGGTACTCCATGGGCTTTGTGGTCTTGGGAAAGCGCCGAGCCACAACCACAACCACCAGAAGCCGGTCGGTCTGGGAATAGCCACTACGGTGCAGTACTTCTGTAGGTCATGTAAAATATTTCCGACGCAGGTACATCAGGGCTGAAGTGGTAAGAGCTTCGCAGTACACGTAAGGTATTGTACCTTACCTTAGGGGGAAATGACTGGATCTGGCGTGGATTCCAAGCAACCACGGTGTCTGTCCGTGAAGGACTTAATTATGCACAGTACGTATACATATCACTTAGGCCCCACGGCGAGAGCAGAATGGTCCCCTTACCGTGCGACTATCTGGAGAGGAAAGAGACGTCCCAGTCGATAAAAATAGGAATAAGGTATTACTCAACTCGAAGGGCCGTTATGATTAGTGGGGTTCTCCAGTTTCTTCTTCTTTTCCGAAGCTCCCCCGCTGAAGACCGGGAGGAATACTTGGTGTATCCGTACCTACCTACCTTAGGTACCTATATAATTAGATACCTTAGTCTAAGGTACGTTGCATGAGAAGTAAGTACCTAGTCATACTTGAACAGGATTGGGAAAGAGGAACCAAGGCGCAGGTACGGGTTCGGCTCTTGGAAGCTTATTCCAAACCTCAACTTGGGCTTGTGGATCACTCCTTCCTTCTCGTTTCATGTGTACGCAGGTACGGAGTACGGGGTCATAATACCGTGACATGACGTGAAGCAGAAAGCCGCTCACGAGTCACGCTTTCTCTGCCAGCAATCGTGATAGCTCCTTTTACCTCACTGCATCTCCCACTCCGTACGGTTTACGGCTTGAGCATTATCTTTGCATCTTTATCCAGAATCAAGAATCAAGAATCAAGAATCAAACGCTCACAATCCATCTGTATGCCTCTCGACTCGACAACTACCCTTAGGGCTTAATATAGATACTCCGTACACCTCCTGTCATTCCCGAACTTCCATGCCCTGTCGATATGGCTCGTCTCGATGGACCAAAACAAGGCTTGTCATTGTCAACCTTGGCAATACAATTCCACTCCGACTCAGACCTTCCACAGACTTCCATGTCCATCACTCACGAATCCACGACCACAGGCTGTGGATAGATGTGGATACATACGTTGTACAGTTATTTCATTTCCAACCCTGTGCCCTGCCTGGTCCGAGCTCGCCTGGTCATCTTTTTGGGGTCAAATCCGGCTGACAACTAAATTTAGCAACACTCACTCCCTTCCGTCTTGAGTCTTGAGAATCACCATCGATCTTGATCTTCCCTTGTACCAATACCTAACGTTTTATCATGGCTCCGTTCTCTCGCCAGATTCGTCTACTACAATCAACCGAGTGTGACCAATTCCCTTCTCGGCCTAAATTACTTCTCGGTCTACTCTCATCTCGCTCGCTGTGACGACTTGCGACGGCACGGCACGGCCCCAGCATTGATTTGGACAACAAGGAGCAACCGATTCATTCGACAGCCTTTATTTACGAAGGCAGTCGAGCTCGAAAACACCTATACATGTCAGCAACCTGGGGCGACCTCGTCTACGACCCACTGTTGCATTCCTTTCCATCTCTACCTATTCTAGAACCTCGAGTCAAGCTGCCTTGACCGACCCCTAATTTAATACAACGTACGCTTCAGCCCTGTCAGGCGGTCACCCTTCACCCTTCTGCCGCGGCCCCTTTGCCGCCCAAGCGACGCACACACCAGGTAGCCGCGTGCGTACGGAGGCGGAAGCTCGGCAGCGGGGCACCTGTGCGCCTGTGCGCCTGTGTACCTAGGCTGGATTGTCGATCCAATCCGACTACAACTGTACCTACCCCTCAGCCCCAAGCAGCCGCCCCAGAATCTCCTCGCACGTCTTCGTCATCGCTCCAAACACCAAACAACCTCGCGTTTGTCGCATATTTACCTTGCGCGAAACAATATCCCGTCCCTCTGTACGCAACCATTGTCGCGTGAGACTACACCATTGCGCTCCATCTGCCTCCCTCCGACCCAACTTGACAACTCACAGCACCTTGAGGCGTCGTTGCAATTAACTCGTACCGGCCGAACCGTTGTCGCACAACGCACACAGCTATCGACTCGCATTGCCCCGCTTATTGTGAACTGCGTCTTCCCTCACGGCTGCCATCTCTCCCCGTCGGGGGTCTTTTTTTTCTTCCCCCCTGCCTTTTTACTGCTGCCCACGCCGCCGATACTGACGCCAGCTATCGCACCTCATCCTCACGAAGAATTGTCCGTCTGCCGTGTTCGATAGTCGTCTTGTCCTTCCTACCAGACTTTCACCAGTGTCACGTTCTCTGTCATCTGCCTCCTGCCGACCATCTCTTTGTTTTTCGGTCACTAAACACTCCCCGCCACGTGACTCGTCCCGTACCATGCCGAGATCAAGCTTCTCGGATAACCCGCTGCTGCGCGTTTCCCGGCCTGTGTCCGCATGTTCAAGATGTGAGTTGCCGCCCCTTCCGCGCCAAGCCATGTGCCATCTGTTATATGAGGGTCAAGTTAACCACGGATTGCCGTACAGGTCGAGCTGCCAAAGTGAAGGTACTTATCATGCCACTTTCTTTTGCTTTGTCGTCTCTTGCTTCTTTTACTCCTCGCAAGAAGGATCCTAAGCTAAGCTATGGGAATCCACGACGTTGAAGGCTGACGGGAGTTGTCTGCCAGTGCGATGGGAAACTGCCAGCATGCACCGCCTGTGAGAAGGCCGGTCGCGAGAACGAGTGTTCCAGTGCCAATGACCAGTTCGCTCGTGGCAAAGAGCGAAGGTACCGTCTTGTCACTTTCAATCCGAGTCGAACCTCGAACCCGACCTGGGGAGGCTAACTGTTTGCACAGCTATGTCGCAGCGCTGGAACTGAGGATAGAGAAGCTCGAACGCCGTCTGGCCTTTGCTCGTTCTAGAAAAGCCTCTGTGAACCTCTACGACGTCGACGAGGCGCCCCAGCAGTATGATCGCAAGGACTCCTTGGCCAAGATTCGAGCGGCCATTCATCGTAAAGCCGCCAGGAAGCGAGAAGATGCCCATATAAACTCTCTTATATCTGATTTTGGCTTCCTGTACGCTCCTACCCGTACCTTTCGTGGGCCCTCATACAGCCTTCAACGGCCTATCGCCACTCCCCCCTTCGCATCTGGCTAACCCCCGTCGGCTTAGGTCCGTCGATGCGACCTCACGCGACTTCGAACCTTCAATCAGCAACATGTCCTTTGGCCTATTCGTCCTTGCTGCTTCGGCCAACGACAATCTTCCCGAGATGACATCCGATCCATTGCCGCCACGCCACGAGACGCAACCGATTGTCCAGTACTATATGACGCACATCTGGTCCCTGTACCCTTGCTTCTCGGAGACGAAGCTCTTGACCGTCCTAGAAGACATATACCATCAGGACGACCGCGTCGTACAAGATTCGGACTATTGGCTGGCCTACATGGTCCTTGCCATCGGCTACGTCGCCCGGAGCCGAAGCGGGAACGACGAGTATTACAAGAAAGCCGTGGATTTTGCCGCCCGGGCCCTGCCCTACGCTGACGGCGCACTGACGCCTGGCTACGTTGCCCAGATACAATCACTCATTCTCTTCACCCAGTACTCCATGCTGGACCCGGCTCATTTTGACAGCTGGCACCTCATCGGCTTTGCTTGTCGGGCCATTATGGACATGGGCTTCCACCAGGATCCCCCGCCGAATCAAGTCAGCGATACTGCGGCTCTCGATATGCGCAGGGCTTTATTCTACTGCGTGTACTCCCTCGACAGGTCAGTTCGCATCGTCCATCTGGATGGGCCTCCCATCGTCGTGCTTGTCTCAGACGCTTCGCTTCTTTTACCTTTATTAACCTCCCCTTATAGAGCCATCAGCATGGCGCATGCCCGCGCATTCGGATTTACAGATGACTCGATCAGCGTGGACTACCCGAGCAGTTCTATCGGTCGTCTGACCTCAGGGCGTCGCAGTTCCATCCCGGAAGGCGCTATCGCCGGGCCCCAAGGTGCACAGCCTGCCATACTGTTCTTCGAGTTTCGTCGCAAGCAGTCCAACTGGTACCAAATTCTGTTCCAGTCCGAACCCGCCCCGCTCCTCGATGCCTCCGCCTTCATCTGGCAGATGTGTCTCGACATGCGCGAGTGGAGCGAGTCCCTACCGCATACACTCCCGGTTCCAATTCGGGAGCTCTTCGACCTCGAGCTTCGCTACAGCTACGTCTACTGCCTCGCCCCGTCAGCAAGAGCGCCCCACCTCACTCCCTACACACGGGCTCTTATCTTCGAGCATGCTATCGCCTATGTGAACTCGATCCATGCCATCGCCCACCGCAGCGACCCGGGCGATGTGGCCTTTCACACGTATCACGATGTTCTCAAGGTCTATTTCATTGCCACCCAACTCGTCACCGTTCTCAAAGACAGCTTCGATGCCCTTCTCTCCGGCGCGCTTCCGCAGATCCCCATCACTCGTCCAGGGGCCGCGCCACCCCCTCCCCTTCCTCCGAGGCAGCTGCCTGCCGAGAGCAACGTATCGCGCAGCTTGCGTTGCCTACGACAGGTAGTCGAGACGTTGCAAAAGTTCAGTGAGCGGTGGTATAATGCGATGCCGCTCAAAGAGAGCTTCGAAGGCATCTCGGCCGAGCTATGGAGTTGGCTCCGAGTGCGGGAGCGCATGATTGAACAACCGCAATCGCAATCGCAGCAAATGCAGCACTGCCAGACACAACCGTTGACCCCAAACCCAGGCGCTGGCGCAAGAAGGTCGCCTCAGATCCCGGGACCCATGTCCCAGGCGCCGCCGCCGGGCGTACCAAAATATCATTGGGCGGGATGAGATGGACATGCAGTGATTATGATGTGCAAAGGGCGAGGCCAGGGTTCATGCCATGTTTTCTTAAATCCTTTTTTTTTTCTTTTCTTCTCTTTCTTTTTTTTGAGTTCTTCATCTAAGCACGGAAGAGAGTCCCCATTATGGCATCATGTCGGGGTATATCAGCCGTATACCATATTTTGTGGGAGCGTTTGGATAACAAGTTGACAGGGTACGAACATAAATAAGGGAACGAGGCGTTCAAGGGGAAAGCGCCTTTTACCCCTGTTCTTTTGGGCACATTGACTATGGTTCGATCTATCATCCACCGTATTACCGTGTTCAGGGCAAGAGATGGATAGACGCAAAAGGGCCCCAAACTTGTTCATGCCTCCACAGGTAAATCAAATGACACGGCGACGAGCGAATATATCACTGGACAGCAGAGCAGCAGCAGCAGCAGCAGCAAGACCAGTGTAACAGGCTAAGTTGGTTCAAATACACTTCATCTCGTGGCACACTGTTGACATATCTAGATGCCCATTCAAGTAGAATCAACTACTCCATCTACGCTGCTGTTTTATCGTATTACGGTTACGCTGTATTTGGACACCTGCGTCATCCGGCTAGGCAATTGATTCCTCGGAGGTCGCAGGTTTAGCGGTCTTCTCTTTCTTCGCGGCACTGCCCTTCTTCTTCCGGCGCGTCAACCCCGCTCCGGCCGGCGCCTCCAGCACCCAGCGCGCAACGGCAGCTGCGCGTTCGGTGAGGATGGGATACTCGCGGCCGTCATCCACGCTCCAGCGGCGGAGGGTCGACGACCCGGGGCCCTGCAAGTGACTGCTGCCACTTCCTTGCCTGTACTGATCTAACGAAGAAGGAGAAGAGGATGAAGGGCCAGCGGCGCCTTCGCCCCGGGTCGTCGTCGTCGTCGTCGTCACAGACGAGGGCTTCGGACCGCCAGCGCCGTTGGTCCCGCCGTTCCGTAGCTTCTGTTGCTCCTCCAAATGGTCCGCCTCGGCGCGGTTCTGCCGGGCCGTCACCGCCGCGCGGAACGTCGCCTCGTCGACCACGCGGTCGTCCTCGAATGTTTCCATGATGGCCTGCTGCCGTATGCGCTCGCGGCGCTGCTGCTCGTCTGCCTCCTCGACGGCTAGGGGGGGTTCCTCCGCGGCCTTCCCGCGCGTGACGGCGGCGGCGGCGGCGGCGGCAGCGGCGAGGTCGGGGGCCGGGTGATGGAGGCGCGACTTGGGCGGCGCTGATGATGATGATGATGATGATGATGATGATGATGAGCCGTCGCCTCCTCGGTCGTCCAAGGCGGGTAGCGGGGCCGGGGCGCAGAGCTGCTCCCACGAAGGGGTGAGCTGGATCCAGTTGTTGGCGCGGCGGAGGACTTCGAGCCAGTCGGCGCGGGCGGGCGAGCGGCTGGCTTGGAAGACGGGATAGCCGTCGGCGAGGCGGGCGAGGCGGGCGACCATGTAGGCGTGGCGGAGGAGCTCCTTGGCAGAGGTCTGGACGAGGCAGTGGCAGAGGAGGAGGGAGTGGAGGGCATCGGTGAGGAGGGGGTGGTAGGCGACGGCCTCGTTGCTGGCAGAGGAGGGCGGGGCGGGGCCACCACGATTGCGTGACATGACGACGTCTTGGGGCGGGTAGGCGGGGAGATGGGCAGGGGGGACGGCGTTGAAGAGGTCCGGGAGAGGGTACACGGTGTATGTCGGGGTGGTCCCGGAATCTGGAAGGCGAGGGTGGCGGTTACCCTGGGCAGACATGTTGATCTTCTCGGTGAAATCCCTGGTCAGCTTGACGGGGAGGTCGGGGGTGTAGTCGAATTGGGCCAAGTAACCCATGTAGTCCCTTAAGGCTCGCTTGGCGTATGTCTTGACCAGCTTGCGGTGCTCGAGTGAGCGGCGCGAGGCTTCCTTGTCCTCCGGGGAAAGTTCGCGCGGCGACTCGGCGGCGGCATCGGCATCGGCATCGGCATCGGCCTGGGCATTCTGACCATTCTTCCGACCAGCAAGAGGATGATCAGGCAGCCCCGCGGCCACATGCTGGCATGCGATGGTGAGATAGACACCAGCTCGCTGGAAGAGGAGCTGGGTTTCCAGACTGCTCGGCTGTTGGTCCTCGGTCAAGATGACATCGGGCGGCCTCCGCGTGCTGCCCAGCACGGCGGATCCGGCCGCAGCAGCCAAGGCGAGGTGCGGGCGGTGGAAGCGATGGACCTGCAGAGCCTGGGTCAGATCCATAGCGGCACCCTCGTAATCCTCCTTGAAGATGCGGACGGTGGCACGGGTGCGCCAGGTCTCGGGGTCGGTGGGGCGGGCGTCGATGATCTCGCGCAGGGGGGTCAGGCTGGTGGAGGCGGCGAGCTGGCGCGAGGGGATCTTCTCGTGGAAGAAGTGGACGTACTTGGCGTCCGGGTCGGCGGGGTTGCGCTGCAGAACCAAGGAGCCGATCCCCTCGAGGGTGGAGGCGCCCTGCATGGTGGCGACGCTGCAGGCGATCTCGTCGAAGCGGTAGGCGCGGGCGAGTTTCTGGGCGGCCTGCTCGCGCATGCGGAACTTGCGCTCCCGGCTCAGCTTGGCGCCCCCGCCGCCCGCGCCGCCGCCGCCGCCGCCCCCGTAGAGGTTCCCGAGGGCGGGGGAGGTGGTGTCGCTCGCGGCGCGGACGGCGAGGTTGGTGGCTTCGTCGACGAGGCGGCGGATCTTGACGAGGTCGAAGAGGACGGCGGGGTCGATGGGGCGCGGTCGCGGGGCGTTGTAGTTGACGTTGGCGATGGTCTCGAGGATTTCGATGGGCATCTGGAGCCAGGGGCCGTGGAAGGAGGAGATGTAGCGCCAGTGTCTGCGAGGGTAGAGATGAAATGGGGGGTTGTTAGTCTTGGGTCTTGGGTCTTGGGTCGGTTCTTGCACGGGCATATAGCGAGGTGAGGTGCAGTACTGACTTGTTGCGGCAGATGATGAGGGCAGGGACGCCGTCTGTGGGGCTGCTGCCGGTGGGCTTGGTGGCATGGCCCTGAACAGGCCTGGACACAGAGGCGCGCCCTGGCACTGGTGCCGGTGCTGGTGCTGGTCCTGGTGCGGAGGTCTCGCCGGCCTTGTCTTGGGTGATCTCCAACTGCTGTTTATTCTTCTTTTTGGCCATTTCTGCGATTGGAGAGCCTGTCGGGTTGACTAGACAAAGTAGCTTCTGGTCTGACTTGATCTATGCTCTGTGGAAGGATCTTGGGTTCTCGACTTGATTGACTTGCGGACTGCGACTGCGTGTTGGCTCTCTCTGCGCGTGTGTGTGCGCGTGTGTGTCACTGGAAGCGAAGGGCGAATCTGGGAACAAGAGGGAGGAAAAGAGGCCGATTGTTGATTAACGGAGCATGCTGCTACGGACGGGCGAGACCGGTAAAGGCTGAGAAGCTATAGGTGGTAAGTAAAATGGCATAAGATGGGATGTAGGTGTTTGCGAGGAGTTACAGGGAGAATGGAGAATGAATTGGCCCAAGAGTTAACAGTTATACCGGGTCGCGGGGCGTTGACGATACTTCGTACGAAGTCGTTAATAATAAGGTAAGCTACGAAGTACGTAGCTGTCATGGAAATTTTGGGACGGGCGGAATAAGCCGAGGACCGGGGCTGGCCTGGTGCCTCTTCGCGTCTTTGTCATCCGCAGAATCACATGATCTCGTTGTTAGTGGTATGTATGTGTTCTAATATAAATTGAGAAGAGAGGTAATAAAAAAAAATAAAAAAAAAGAAGAAGAAGAAGAAAGGAAATACAGAGAGGGGAAGAGGGAAGAGGCAGAATGGAGGAATATCTAGATGTGTACAAAAAGACAAAAATGAATAGAAGCTGCGTGAACTGGGAATCGAACCCAGGGCTCCCCGATGGCAACGGAGAATTTTACCACTAAACCATTCACGCTTATGTGCTTCATGACAAGCATTCTGACTAACGTGCTCTATGTTTGGAACCTCGTTCTCCGTGTTTCGGCTGTGTAGGATGCCCAAGGTATTTGCTCGTTCTTTTACCATATTAGTTCTTGCACTTTAGGCCCTAAAGCGTGATTTCCTATAAGGTACTTCATGAAGTCTTGTCTTGCTTTTTCAAAGCTCAATTCAATCCAGCGCTCACTTCTCTGACCTACGAAACACCACTAAACACATACAGAGAGGATAGCATAAAATAGCATAAATCCTCCTACCAAAGTCCCATAGTCCATAACCCTCATTATAGGTACGAAGCAAACTCTGCCGGTCCAGCCTCCAGCCCCTTGCAAGACCAGGGGCGAGTGTCACGGAGGAAGCGTATTTAGGCAGCATGACCCCATGGGAGATGATGGCGAGAAAAGTGTTCGGCATCATTTCGGCCTCAAACCAAATGTTCACGATCCTTCGTATCCTAGGCCACTCCGAACATGCTACACCCCGCAGAATAAGTGTAAAAAGGCGTTGTGGGTCGTGAACTCTTGTGAACAATCCAAGTTCGGATCAGAACGAGAACGAGAAGGAGAAGGTTAACGTTGTTCAGGATCCGCGCCAGGCAACCGCGGGGCCGATTGCCTCGAAACCACAGGGAAATGACGAGAGATGAAGGATGTTCGAGGTATAAAGAGCCCGAGGTCGAATAGCGAGAATGAGTTGAATTGGCCGGCCATCCATTCCATCCATCGCTTGTCCGATTCTACCCACTATACTTGCATCCTCTACTCCCTACCCATGAAGATGCCTTCCATCAGCAGCATCGCCCTGTCTCTTCTCACCCTGTCCGCCGCCGGCCTCGTCTCGGCTGCGCCAGATGTCCGGGCTGAGCTGCTCCCCTGTGGGTGCGCCGCCTTCCCGGCTTATGTGGCGTCGTCGGGCAACGCCGGGCCCTGGTCCGTCCACGCCGACGGCACCGGTGAGCATATCGATGGAATCGGCTTGATAGCCGTCTTCTCCCGCGGTCAGCATGAGATTCGTTGGGGCAACGTGAGTCCTTTTCGTCCCTTTTTCCCCCTTCCTCCCTTCTCTCCTTCTCCTCGCCCTCCGGATCTAGCCAACACCTAAAAAAAATCCCAGCTGGCCGTCAACGACCTGCAAGGATACGCGACCAACCCGCTCCGCTGCGTCGGCGGCCCGGCCCCCGGCTCGGGCGTCCAAGGACTGGTCCCCACCGGCGTCTCGTCGTACACGTGGGAGCCCATGGTGGCCGCCGACATCCCCTACAGCTCCCTGCTCATGTACAAGGTCGAGGGGACGCCCATCGAGCCGTATGCGCTGTACAATGTTGACGACGACGAGAGGCGGCCCGGCGTCTTCCTCGGTTCCGGCGGTTACGCCACTTGGGGCTTCCGGAGGCAGGAGTCCGCCGAGTTCGGTGTCTACTGGGAGACGCGCCTGCTGGGTGCGAACAGCCAGGACCCCATCACGGGCGAGCCGCTGTTTGAGGGCGAGATTACCGGTTTCCTCAAGGTCTGGGGCTGAAAGACGGAATGAAGTGCGGACCGCGACGGCAATGCGCATGGGGCATGGTTATCCCCCATCATCCATGTCGCATCGGCATATGAGTGATTCGGGGTGGATTTTCTTTTTATTTATTTCTTAGATTTTCGAATTGTCTTGATCTCCTGCTTTGGATTCCCATTGTACGTTTCTTGGTCTACAGGATGGCTTCGCATATATAGATCGACCTACATTGTCAATGCAATTGAACATGACCGGGGATATCCTCCAATAAGCATTCAAGCCTAGATCGAGACGTTGGAACTTGGAACTTGGAGCTTGGGTCCTAAAATAGGGCATCCCATCCCGGGGCCTCGCAGGCGCACTTGTCTTGTCCACCGTTAACCCCCCACCAACCCCCCAAACCCCCAAACCCCCCCC